TAGTAGTAGGTTAAGCTATAATGACATGACTTGAATTGGTCTGCCTAAATGGGATTATCCAGTGTTCCTACGGTAACTTTGGTGTTTAAAGTTCGACTTAAATTCTCGAACAAAATTTTTCCAATTAGCAACCTAGTACGAAGTGATGTATGTCCTTATATCTGTGTTTAACTGCGCGTCAGTGATTTTCACCTTTTTACTTTTGCTTGAGGACAAGCAACGGTTTAAGTATAGGGGAGTTTGATAACGCAATTTTATATAGTATATTTGATTTAATTTTCATAGGTAATGTTAGTATTTTTATCTAATTATTCCATTTTATTTCCATATTACGCCGGTATTTCTATTGTTTCAGGTATTTTATTTTAATTAGACAAATCGAGCAAAGTGAAGAAATTCAAGAGTTATTGGACTAAAGGTGCAAGAAATGAAGAGAAGGGGTGTGCAAAGCAATGATGATGGATCAAAAAGAGTCTATTACCTCCAAACGGGCCCAATAGAATTCAAACCCACGCAGCAAGAAAAACCTAAAAGCGCATGCAAGAGTGAGACGCACGTCTCAACTCTCTTCCTACAATTGAGGCGCCCGCCTTAGACTTTCCCCTTAGTGGGAGGCGCCCGTCTCAGCATAGTCAAAGGAAGAAAAAGTCAATTGGGGCGCCCGTCTCAACGTGGGCAAGTAAGAAGAGAAATTCAAGGACACGTGGGACACGGAAATATCTGAAGAGGTGGTTACGTTCAAAGACTATAAGAAGACATGAGAAAGTGAAAATTGGGACCGTTTTTGCTTAGAATTTTTTCCAGTTTTCAGAATTTTACTTTCATTGCAATTTACTAGTTTCCAGTGTAATTCGATTCCTAGTAGCATTTATTTCCAGCCAATTTTCTTTTCCTTTTCGAATACTTAGAATTTACTCCCGTTGAAGAACGAAGATTCTGTACGGATTGATTCAAGCTTCGAAGATTGTTTCCAGCATTATTTAATTCAGGTTCTTTATTTATATCAATTAATTAATTATTTGCATGAGAATATTTATTTAGCCATGAATTTATTTATGATCATTAATTCCTTTAATGTATCCATGTCCGTTTTTCTGAGTATGTCTGGCTAAATTATTTAAATATCGGTATGTAACGAGTTAATTCGAATGGATCCGGAATAAACAGGCTTGATTATATTTCATAAAATAAACACTTTTTCTGATTTAGTTATCTAGTTTATTTTGTTAAAAAGGTTTAGAAACCAACAGAGCGACAGTTTGAGGTTAATAAACCGACTAAGATTAGAAACCAACAGAGCGACAGTTTGAGGTTTAGAATCAGATAGTAGATGCTAGGTATTGTTTTTAAAGACTGCGACAGCGTTTTAAAACCAATTAAACTTTATTTATTTTCAAAAAGTAATTTTAAAATCAATGGGATGGCGAAAGCGTACATTAGAGTTTAAAATTATAATTTACTTCAATAGAGCGAAAGTTTGAGAATAGATTTTTGAATAAATACTTTTTGCTGAAAAAGATATTATTATCACTTTTAGAAAATGAGCCTGTAGAAAGCCGGATTCTTTAGCGTTAACGACGTACATACCGATATTCACATTATTATTATTTCAATTAGAATTAAGTTTTATTACCCGAAAATTCCCCAATTTAATTATTCGATAGCTATAGCTTTACACAGTAGTTTAGGTTACGTTAGTTCGATTTATAGTCCCTTAGGTTCGATATCTTTTAAAACTACGTGATAGGGCTGTATACTTGCAGTCTCCCAATTAATTTAGACGATAAAGTCGCGATCAGGGTTGCAAGTTAAAATTCTAGTTTACTATTACAACCCTATTGAAATAGATAAGAATGTACAGAAAATGTAAAATGTTTGTCTGTTTAAAAGGAAAATAACGTTTGTTTAAGAAAATATTTTTTTGGGTTTTTATGTTAAAAGAAAATATAACATGTAAATATAAAATATTTTTGGTATTTTTTGATTAATAATAAAATGATGAGGGCAAAATAATAAAAGAGAAAGAAAACATGATCAGCGCAAAGTGCTGAAAATAGAAGAGGTCAGAAGTTCTGACTCTGACTTGCTGCACAAACAGAAACATGTTAGAAAAAATATGGAAGTTTAGAAGTTTTGGATCTTCTGGGAACTCAGAAGTTTTCAGAAGTTCTAACGCAACTGTCAGAACTTTGCCTCTCTCCATGCCAGTCAGAACATCTGCAGCTTAGTCATTTACAGAATAGAAGTTGCATGCATAATAGTTATGACAAATTTCATGAAATATCAGAAGTACAAATCAGAAGCAACATGTATTTGATAATTCTAATTCTGAGTCCTAATTTCTTTATTAAGCTCTGGAAGGATTTCTTCTACTTAGGCAAGCAGATGCATGAATTTTCAGAATATGTACATCATCAGGATCATAATATCTACATTGTGCTAAGTATGCAAAATCTGATAATGCTTAATCAGTATGATGAGAGTCAGCAGAAAACTTACCTTGCTACTGGAAAGGATTCTGTGAACTGGAGGATGTTCTTGAATTCTGGTGACGTTCTGGGTAACTCCTTCACGTGCTCAGCAGGATAGAAGTTGTCAACTTCTGGAACAACTAAGGGGTGAAGTTCTGATCCTTTTGAAATGGATATTGGTGGAGAATGTGTTTACTGTTTAATTACAGAATTTGGGATGGCTTTAATCAAGAACACTTGAAGAAAAATGGAGTTTGAATATAAGGAATCAATGCTAGGGTTTTTGGTATCTTGTGTTTATAGTTTCCTGGGTTCTTGGAATTTTTACAGTGATTCAAAGCTTTCTTTCTCAATTCCCTCGCCTCTTTCACAAATTTTTTCTATCTCTTTTACAAATTTTTCTCTAGGTGTTTTCAGTGTGCAAATGGTGTTCTATTTATAGGCAAAGTTTTGCAGTTGGGGCGGTCAAGTGGTGCCAACAACATGTGCTAGATGCTGACTTACTCTTGAAGTAAGCTTAAACAAGTGGGGTTCAACGTATTCAAGTTGGATGGTGAACAACGCCTCAGCTGGATCTGGCAGCGTGAATTAATGAAAAGTAGAGACAGCGTGTGGGTCTAGCATACTTTTGCACAGAAATTTGTCTTCCCAAGGCAGTAGGGGTACACGTGGTGTGAATCCCTTGGATAAAGACTCAGAGGCGGTTGTGAGCATTAAATGGGTTACCATGTGAAACTCTGCACCCTTGCTTGATTCTGGATTAGAAGTTCTGCTTCAGCGTAGTATCTCATCTTATGATCCTCTTATCTTCTGACTTTAGCATGTTCAGAGGGATCCTTCAGAACTTCCAGTATACTTACAGCACGCTTTGTTACCTTCTTTGATTTAACCCTTGCAAACTCTGACTGAACCTTCGTGGATACTGGCCCAGAAGTTCTGACCAAACTCTATCTTGAGAATATCCAGAATTTACTGAGTATGAACATTGGCCCAGAAGTTCTGACATTGTCATATTTCTTAAATACTTAGAAAAAATTCTAAGTATTTAGAATTTGGCTTTTCCAAAGCAAAATTTGACTTTTGAAATTCTGGATGAAATAAATTTCATATTCCAACATGTCTTGATGAAATATGATTTCTGAGATTTGATTTTGATCCAAAAGTCAAAGTTAGACTTCTCAGTGTGCAAATGACCATTTTGCTCTTGTGAATGATTTGCTTAGAAAAATTGATAATTCAAGGCCTGGAATTGGATGTGAAAAAACTTGAGGATCCAGGGTGATTCCTTGAGAAATGAGAGGGCAAATTTTGGAGTGCAACATACATGTTACTAGAAATAAGTCTCATCTTCTAGCCCATGGCTACACTCACATCGAAGTGGTTGACTATGATGAGAATTTTTCTCTAATTGCCCATCTTGAAGCTATCATATTATTACCTGGTTTATCATTTCTCCTTCGGTTTAAATTCTACTAGATGGATGTGAAGAGTGTATTCCTCATTGGATACTTGAATGGGGAAGTTTTTGTTGAGCAGTCCAAATATTTTATTGATTCATGTCTTTCTAATCATGTCTAAAAACTCGTAAAGGATCCATATGATCTCAAACAAACTCCCAAAACTTGGTATGACAAACTCACAAAATTTCTTATTATGTTTGGGGGAAAATTGACAAGTCTCTATTTGTGAAGAAGTATGATGGAAAATTTTTGATTTGTTCATGGAGAAATTTCTTACACGAGATTTGACTTTATATATATATATATATATATATATATATATATATATATATATATATATATATATATATATATATATATATATATATATATATATATATATATATATAGACTATGAATGAGTTCAATATAAGATATACAAGACATGTGACCTCTCCCTCTCCCTCCCTCCTATCAATTCTTTAATGAGAAAAAAAACCTATAATGTGTTGACCAAAATCAAGACCAGATATAAGAGGCGTATAACTTTGAAATTCTAAAAATTAATCTTTAATTAAATAAAAACTCAATTATAATTTTTTTTCTTCTAATTTCGTCCTATAGAAAGACTAAAATTGTAATAACTCTAAAGACGTGCATATTTTCTTTAACTCATGCACAAGTGTCAGAAATTATGTTGTTATCACTTTGGCTTGTGCTCTTGTTTTATAGCGTAGAAGAAAAACATTTCAACACATTATGTACAAATGTCCATTGTAATGCTCTCTATTCAAGTTAATGAAGTTACTTGGGTTTACCGTAAAAAAAGAAGTGAGCATCAATCACTATAAAGCTTGACTAATATTACAAAATGTAGACATGACTTTTTCTCTGCCTTGACGGGTAGGTCATTAATTGAGCCCAAAATATTTCATGTACTTAGTCCATAACCTTTTTTGTCACGGTCCCCTTCTCGTATCTTATGCTTATCCTTATACTATAAGTTCACTCTTGTATGTCCTTAGTTTTCCTCATCCCTCTTTTCCTTTCCACTTTTTTTTTCTAGTACCACTATTTCAAAAATATAATCATGATCCGTACTATATTGTTTGCATGTCATGAATTTCTTAATATGAAAATCTCAGAGGAAAAACTCAAAGACACCAAGGTAATAACATACAAAAATGAGTTAGCCAATACAAAGATGAGAAGAAAAACAGTCAAGAAAAGTGTCAGGTTTGTGGATACAGAACGAGATGCTCTTTTGGAAAAAGAGGAAAAGAAGGAGTTGATGAATGGAAAAAGAAGCTGCAACAATGATTGTAGTAGTGGTTTTGATGAATTAGGAGAAAGAGAAAGGATAAATATTAGAATAAAGGTAAAGATGACAAAGGAAGAAGCTGCTAAGTTTTTGTCAAAATTTAATAACAAGGAAGGAGAGGTTCTTCCATTCAAAGATGTTTCTCCTCAGCTTGTGGCTCTCCCACTCCACAGATTTACCATTGTGTCCACTTGAACCAACCATATAATAGCAATTATAGTTGTCGTTAGTGTGTGTTTGTGTTCTTTAAAAAAAATAGTGAGTGTTTGGGTTACTTACTTTTGACTACATCATTTGTTAGTGTTGTATTGTATGAACATTTTGCAAAAACGAGAGAAGTGCTACTTGAATTTTCTAGTATCAATTTCAATAGTACTCCTTGTCGTCACGTTTTAGATATGTTTAAGGATGACTAACTTTGTTGGAAAAAATGTTGGCACATAAGGTCCGCTGTTTCCTCCTAAAAGATATCAATTTCAATAAGAGACTAGTTTTTTTAAAAGAAAATTAAAAATTTAATATATTTTGAAATTTTCATAAATCAGAAAATTGAAAAGCAATAAAAAAATTGACAAAATACGTCCGAGCCACATGAAGCAGTTTGGCGGCTAGCGGAAAGTCAGCAGCGGCGGCTGCTGGTGAGGGAGTCGAGAGTTCGAATGCGGCAGTATGGCACAAGGTCAGTTGCTAATAGAGATTGTTTATTCATGTATTGTTATTGTATACTTGCTAAGTCAGCAAGGTTGTTAGAGTTAGTTTTGTCTCTAACTGAAGTAGTTAGATTAGTTGTAGTTTGTTTTCTGATTAGTGATTGTATAAATGATTCTAACACATGAATGGAAAGTAAGATGAATTTCATCTGTTAACATGGTATCAGATTTTTCTCTGAAATTTCTTGAAACTTTTCCGCATCTTTTCCCTTTCATCGTTCTCACGATGCATTCTCATCAAATTCATCGTTTTTTCTTGATGATTTCTCTTCGTTTTCATTGATTTTTCTGTCCAATTTCTTTGATTGTTCAGTGATTTTGTGAAACGTTTCTTCTTCCAGAGTTCAATTTCTGGGTTTCTTGAGTTTCTGCGATTGCAATTCTGCGATTGTGCGATTGTGCTTCTAGAGTTTGCGATTGTGAATCTTGCACGATTCTTCATCTCTGTTTTTCTCTTCAATGGTGGCTCGTGCTCCTGTAACTCTTGCGAATTTGCAAGATGTCAGGTGGATCATGGATTGTGGTGCAACTGATCACTTTGCTAGCTCTCTTCATTTGTTCTCTTCTTATAGAGCTATACCTCCAGTATTTGTTAATTTACCAAATGGCCAACATGCTTATGCTCGTCATATAGGAACTATATACTTGACACCTACTTTGACATTGTATAATGTGTTATATGTTCCTGAGTTTTCAGTAAACTTAGTGTCTATTGATAAACTTATCAAGCAACTTCAATGTAATGTGCTCTTAACTCACTCTGCTTGTTATATTCAGGACACAATCACATTGAAGATGATTGGGAAAGCTGAGAATCGCAAGGGACTTTATATCATGAATTTACCACCTCTTCATACTGTTAAGCCTTTGTCTACTTTTCATTCTGTGAGTAATGTTGTTTCTGCACCAGTTAGTATGCCTAATATTTGGCATTATAGGTTTGGCCATCCCTCTCTCTCTTATTATCACATTTTACATTCCATGTATCCTGTTGTATCTTCCACTGTTAATAAACATTGTGAGACTTGTCATTTTGCAAAACAAAAGAAATTGCCTTTTACATTGAGTACTACACTTTCAGAAAATGTGTTTGATCTATTGCATGTGGATATATGGGGACCATATAGTGTTCCATCTATTACTGGTGCTAGGTTCTTCTTAACTATTGTTGATGATAAATCCCGTTATACTTGGGTAAAATTTCTTGATACAAAAGCTGCAACTCGTCCTTCTTTAAAGAGTTTTATTATTTTTGTGAAAACTCAATTTCAGAAATCTGTGAAAATTGTTAGAAGTGATAATGGTGTTGAATTTTCAATGTGTGATTTTTACAATTTGCATGGGATACAGCATCAATTGACTTGTGTGGAAACCCCACAGCAAAATGGGATTGTGGAACGCAAACACCAACACATATTAAATGTGTCTCGTGCTTTGCTTTTCCAATCCAATTTATCTCTTGAGTTTTGGTCATATGCTGTAAGTCATGCAGTGTATATCATTAATGTTTTACCAACAAAAGTTTTGCAAAATGCTTCACCATATCAAATTCTTTTTAACACCAAACCTGATATCTCTTCCTTAAGAGTTTTTGGCTCTCTTTGTTATGCCACTACTTTACTTGCTCATAGAACTAAGTTTAAACCTAGAGCAAGAAAATGCATGTTACTTGGTTTGAAAGAAGGAGTTAAAGGTTTTTTACTCATGGATTTGGGAACAAGACAGGTTTTTTTGTCAAGGCATGTTATTTTTTATGAGAATATGTTTCCTTTTCAGCATCTTGACAAGGATCATAATGTGACTTCCCTAAATTCTTTGGTTTTACCTACCAGCTCTTATTCTCCTTCTTTATTTGATGAACAATTACCACACCCTGAACCTGCTCTACCTCCACAACCTGTTCTCAGATCTTCTTCTAGACCCAAAACCAAACCTGCTTACTTACAAGATTATCATTGTAATCTTGCTTTGGTTCCTTCTCAGAATTCTCAGGTTTCTCAGGTTTCTCAATCTCCCAATGTGTTGTATCCACTAACAAACTTTGTGTCTTATGATCACTTGTCTTCATCACATAGGGCCTATACCTTGTCAATCTCTCAGGTTACACACAAGAGCATGGCTTGGATTACTTTGAGACTTTCTCTCCTGTTGTGAAGATGACCACAATCAGATTAGTTTTGGCATGGCTACTGTTCATAACCGGTACCTTCATCAAATCGATGTAAACAATGCATTTTTGCATGGGAATCTAGAAGAGGAGGTGTATATGTCATTACCTCAGGGTTATCAGGTTGCACAACCTACACAGGTTTGCAAGTTACTAAAAAGTCTATATGGACTTAAGCAAGCTAGCAGACAATGGAATGCTATGCTTACTTCTTCCTTAGTTGCTTTTGGTTATGTGCAATCTAGGTCTGATTACTCTCTGTTTGTCAAGAAAACTTCTATTCATATTACCGTTTTATTGGTTTATGTTGATGACATTGTTCTAGCTGGCTCTGACCTGACAGAAATTGTTCATGTCAAGGCTCAATTGGATGCTCAGTTCAAGATCAAAGATCTAGGCAATCTGAAATTCTTTCTTGGGTTAGAAGTGGCTAGATCTCATGAAGGTTTGGTCTTGTCACAGAGGAAGTATGCTCTTGAATTACTTGATGATTCAGGCTTGCTTACCTGCCAGCCAGTTACAACACCAATGAATCCTAGCATTAAGCTCCAAGCCGTCACAGATCACCCCTATAAGGATGTTAAGTCTTATAGGAGATTGATAGGGAGATTGATTTATCTCACAAATACTAGGCCTGGCATTTGTTATGCAGTGAACACTTTGAGTCAATATTTGTCTAAGCCTATGCTTGAGCATCATACAGCTGCACTAAGGGTTCTCAATTACATCAAAGGAGCTCCAAGTCAGGGATTGTTCTTCTCAGCTCAGAAGAACACTACTTTGAGTGCTTTTAGTGATTCTGATTGGGCTTCATGCCCTGATACAAGAAGGTCTGTCACAGGTTTCAATGTGTTTTATGGCTCTTCTTTGATCAGTTGGAAATCCAAGAAGCAGTCTACTATATCCAGATCTTCCTCAGAGGCTGAATACAGGGCTTTAGCTACAACCACATGTGAGGTTCAGTGGCTTTTGTATCTCCTTCAAGATCTTCAACAGTCAGCTCTGCAGCCAGTTATTATCTATTGTGATAGCTTGTCTGCTATACATATAGCACAAAATCCTACTTTTCACGAGCGCACTAAGCACATAGAGATTGATTGCCATCTCGTTCGTGATAAAGTTGCTTTAGGAGTCATCAAATTGCCGCCTGTTCCAACTACTGCACAACTTGCTGACATCCACACAAAACCTCTACACCCTCAACTTTTTCAACATTTGGTGTCCAAGCTTAGTCTAAAAAATCTTTATGTCTCAGCTTGAGGGGGGGTAATAGAGATTGTTTATTCATGTATTGTTATTGTATACTTGCTGAGTCAGCAAGGTTGTTAGAGTTAGTTTTGTCTCTAACTGAATTAGTTAGATTAGTTGTAGTTTGTTTTCTGATTAGTGATTGTATAAATGATTCTAACACATGAATGAAAAGTAAGATGAATTTCATTCTATTTCATCTGTTAACAGTTGCGCTCCGGAATCGTGCTTGTCGACCAGAGTATAGCCAATTGCAACGGTTTGGCATTAGGTCCAGTTAGTGTGTATCGAGCTTGAATACTTCGACCCATGGATATGTTCGTTAATAGATTGCGTTTTTTGCCTGTTAAAAATCGGTTGGATTTCAACATTTCAACAATTATATATATATATATATATATATATATATATATATATATATATATATATATATATATATATATATATATATATATATATATATATATATATATATATATATATATATATATATATATATATATATATATATATATATATATATATATATATATATATATATATATATATATATATATATATATATATATATATATATATATATATATATATATATATATATATATATATATATATATATATATATATATATATATATATATATATATATATATATATATATATATATATATATATATATATATATATATATCATTCTTTTAAAACAACCTTTATAATAAAGTCTACAAGATCAAGAAAGAAGGTGATAATCTTAAAAGAAAATTTAAAGAGACTAAGACATAGGTTCTTATGATTGTGTTCTATAGAGGAAACTAAGGGGATTGAGTAACACTCCTAAACATTTTGGGAGTGTGTTAATCATATATAGAGAGTTGGAGAGATTGAGAAACAGTTGAGGTAAAAAATGGGATTTGTTTTTGGAAATTTGGGATACTATTTTCTTGTAAGTATTTTGTAATATCTTGTAACAATTCTTGAAAATATAGTAAATTGAAGAGTTACTCTCTCCAAGAGTAGGCATGTTTAATCGAACAAAGTAGATAAGTTTTTTATGTTATTGTCTTTATCTT